GGCCGGGTGCGTGGCCAGCACAGGGAGCTGTGCCTGGGACTGGCGGGGATCGGACAGCGCTTCGCCTACCTCCGGGGCCTGGCCACTCTCGGCCGCCCTTCCTCTACGAGCTGACGTGAACTTCAGGTCTGTCTCTGGCAATGGATGACTATGGTCCTCCTGTTGCCTGGGTATCACTCTGCCACGTTCCGGACCTGGCTCTCCGGTGGGATGCGTGGGGGAGAAGGTGATGGTCAGGGGAGACTTCCTGGAGGCAGTGGCACCCGAACTGAGGCAGCCAGATGCATCATGGGAAGGCCATGTCGAGAGGGGGACAGGCAGCTGGAAGACGGGCTCCATGGCTTCGAAGGGTGCAGTGCAGGCTGGGCTCAGCAATGAGGAGGTGCTTACGGCTTTAAAATTACCCTGAAAAATGTTAAGTGAAAACAGGAGTGAAACCATCAGGAAGGATGTGGAAGGAAAGGGCAGAGGCAGCCGGGACCGGTTTGGCTCAATGGATAGAGCGTTGGCTTGGGGTCTGAAGGGCCCCGGGTTTGATTCCGGTCAAGGGCATGTACCTTGGTTGGGGGCATATCCCCAGTAGGGGGTGTGCAAGAGGCAGCTGATCGATGACTCTCTCTCACTGATGTTTCGAACTCTCTATCTCTCTCCCTTCCATTCTGTACAAAAATCAATAAAATATATTTAAAAAAAAAAAAAAAAAGGGCAGAGGTAGGGCCAGCAGAGAGGAATATTGCCATTGTCACAAAATCCTGGGGCTTTTGGCTAATATAGGCCAGGAACTGGTGGTAACCAGAGTGTCCGCTCCTCTGCCCCAGACTTTTATTTCCATCTGCTGACCTTCACTGGGGGGATGGGCACTGGAGGACCATATGCTTGTAATTTCTGTCTCTGGAAAAGTGAATTAGCCTTTTGCCATTTTTTTCTCCCCTGCTCAGAGCACCCTCTGAGAATCTGGCACAGATAACATAGGACCGCGCCAATAAGGACGCCTTAAAAACCAGAATGTTCTAGACGTGAACGAGGTGGGACAGCGTTCACAGTGAGGCACCTCTGCTTTGGAGTCCTGTCCAGAGCAGGGGCCGGGCCGAAGTCTACTTCGGCCCCATGAGGGAAAAGGATGCACTGAATAATTGAAAAATGCAAAGACTGCGGGAGGGGTAGGGTGAGCCTGCTTATGGGGATGATCAGGTCGCACCAGCGTCGCAGCAGCTAATTGCAAATTAAAAATGCAGGAGGCATTCTTCTGTGCTCGCCACAGCGTTCCTGGAACACCGGCTCGGCCACACAGAGCCGTCCGAGTCAGAAACGTCACTCTTCTAACCCCACCGAGGACAGGGCTCTCCTTTTACGGTGTCCGCTGAAGCCCCAGTTCCAGCCAGATCCAGGCTCTGTGGGCGCTCGAGCTGCCTTCTCTGCCGGTCTGGTTGAAGATGAGGCCACCAGAGAAGACGAAATACTGTTTGTTTTCCTGGTGTGAGCGCCGGCGCAGACACACAGACTCACCCGCCAGGAGTAACACCCAAGTAACTTTCATCTCGCCCCCACTCTCTCCCTTGATTAGGTACTAATCCCGGTTTGGCGACCGGCCTGAAGCTTTTTTAGATTTGGGGAATCCTCTGTCAGAGAAAGAACGAAAATTAGGACTAGAAATTTATTATGAATATTTACTTAAATCGAGGGAATTATAGTAAATAAAAAATTAAGTTGACAGAGACACAAATGCAGAAAAATAACAAAGTATTTTTAATAGCTGCCTTGTTATGAATCTGATTATTGTCTTTTATGTACTGCATATCTTTAAAGTCTTTTTCTTTTAGAAATCATCTTTTGGCTGCAAACTCTTTCTCGTGATCTCTCCACTTGATAACAGTTTTGTGATTTCATAACCTCAAGGGACAAGGTCATTTTAATGTAATATTGCCGTTCTTCCAAAAGTCTCTAGAATGGCTGCTGAAAAAAAATTTTTTTAAAAAAATTATTGATACTTAAAAAAAAAAATGAATTTTGCCTCCCAACTTGTTATGGGCAAAGTCATGAAAATTTTTATGATTCTATTCAAATTTAAGAAAACGACTCCCATTTTTACTAAATATAATTACAAACGTACTTGCTTCTGTTGTTCTGCTCAGAGCATATGCTGTATAAATATGATAGGCTTAAAGATGGATTAAAAATTTAAATATGTATTTTTATTGATTTCAGAGAGCAATGGAGAAGGAGAGAGGGAGACAGAAATATTGATGACAACAGAGAATCATTGATCGGCTGCCTCCCGCACGCCCCACACGGGGGACTGAGTAGGTGCCCTGACTGGGAATCCAACCGTGACCTCCTGGCTCAGAGCTCAATGCTCAACCATGGAGAGCACACTGGCCGGGCAGGATTAAAATTCTAAAAGTCCCCTCCCTTCGCATTTAACCGAAGCACTTCCTATACCGCCATGCTGGAACATGTCTTCTGCATCTGCCTCTGACCACGTGCTGTCTGTCATGGGTGGGGCTCAGCCTCTGTGCTAGGGGGACACGCAGCGTGTGGCAGAGACCTGGCATTGCCACACACACAGCAAGGCTGCTCTCCACGTCCCGGTGAGGGGAGCGCAGCAGGGCTGGCTGGAGGGGGTGCCGCGGGCCTTCCTGTGCCTTCAGAGGCTGTGCCTGAGCCTGCTGCGTGCCCCACGAAGGGCAATGAAGGACACGGCCCGTGCCTTCCCGGGACTCATCTGCCCACACCGAGCACTGAACAGCACTGGCATTTATTTATAGGGCGCTGTGCCTGCAGGTGCGGAGGGAGGAGGGCTGCCACGCCTGGGATCTCAGTGGGACACCGACCGACCTGAGTGACCTGGGACAGGTCGCCTTGCCCTGGGCGTCTCCGCTCTTCCTCTGGGGAAGCAGGGGTTGTTGGGACCGGTGACAAGGCTCAGAGCTGTTGTGACGAGGGATCCGGGACAATCTGGAGCAGGCCTGTGCTCAAACCGGTGCTCAGCAAACCGGCCCAGACTGTCCCCATCCCATGCCACCGCGCCCACCCCACCCTCTCGTCCTCGGCCCCAGCGACATCCGTCAGCCTGAACCCTCGGGGGGCCTGCCCGCCTCCCTGAGCCACTGCCTGCTGAAACCGGGGGAGACCAGGTCTCCGTTACCTCCTTATGCAACAGCCCCGCCCCCACGCTGCACGGCTTGTGCTTTAAGAAACACAATATTGCCAAAGTGGATTATGCGGCGAATGGTTCCCGGGAACTGAACCGACCAGTCTGGTGAGCAGCCTCGAGCACCTTCTATAAGGCCCTGGCCACCCCCTCCCCCCACCTCCCAGGATGGGGAGCAGGAGTCAGGCTAGGTCACGGGATGAGGAATCTGAGGGAGCCGAAGCTGCCTGGTCCGCTCGAGCGTGTCCATCCCTGGCCCCGCGTTGGGCCTTAATAACGCAGTAATAACCGGCTGCTGGGGCACAAAGGCTTTTGGAGAGCCGGACATAAAGGCCACTTTGTTCTGCTCCTGCCGTTCCAGCAGACATGCATAGGTGTTCTCACACAGACCACCCCCCCCCCCCCCCCCCCCCCCCCGGTGCTGCCTCCCCTCCCTGCGCACGGAGGGAGGGGAGCTTCAAATGGCTGAGGAGGAGAGAGACACCCTAAAAATCTACTCTGAGGAGAACGCAGAAGAAGCTGGGTGTGTTTTCTGCTGGGCCTGTCTCTTCCCCAGACTGCCGGCCCCTGCAGGGAGCCGCAGCCACTCCATCAAAAAGTCATTGCGGGCCCAGCGTGAGCCTCAGTGCAGTCAGAGCGTGGGCGGCGGCAGGGACAAAGCCATTTCTCCAGGAGCTCTGCATTTGGCTGCAGCCAGAGGGACAGCCAGGGCTGGGGGCCCACACCTCCCCCTCCTCCTCCCCCTCTTCCTCCTCCTCCACATCATCATCATCATTGGGATCCCCCCAGTCCCTATCCCCCTTACCCCCCACCTCCCATCCCTATCTCCCCACCACCCCAAAGCCTGGGTCTACATAACTGGCTTCTCTACCCCCAACTGTCCTTCCTCTTGACTCTTAAGTCTCCCGGGGCTGAGTGGTAGAGGGACTCACCCCGGTTGACCTATCTGTGCCTCTCCCGTCAAAGAATAAGAAACAGCAGCCCAGCGCGCAGAGCGAGGGGCCAAGGAGACGCAGCTGGTGCCCGGGTCGGAAGATGCTCATCTGTATGCTTATGGCTTTGTTGCAACCACAACACAATGCTTTATTTATCACCCCGATGGCCATCTCCAGGAGGGGGCGGCCCCAGCGTATTGACCTAAGCTGTGTGTTGGGTTTGGGTGGACACATTGGAGGGCAGAGCAGAACGACTTTGCAAAACAGAGCAGGAGGGACCTGGAAGGAGGGGGAGGAGGGCCCCGGTGGCTGGACAGGGGGCTGGGACGAAAAAGAACCCCCTGGTGGCTGTCCAGCAGAGGAGGGCTTTCCGGGCAGACAGTGCGGTGGCTTTTTAACTCTGTTTGCTGTGGGTTGCGCAATGCAAACTCCCTCCTGAAACTGTCTGGAGGTTCTCCGCTGCTCGTTATCACGTCACGTGAGTGGATTTGGGGACATTGAAAGAGCTGCTGAGCTCTGGGCCCATGCTGACATGGTGGGAAGCAGACAACTGCTGCCAGGGCCTGGCTGGCTGGGAGGAGAGAACGGGCTGACAGCTGGTTCTCCATGGCAGTGCACAGGGGGCCCCGCCATTACAGGGGCCCTCTTAGAGGGGAGTCACCCCTGGGTTTGCACGTGGAGGTGACATTCCCTGACCTCTGGGCGGGTGGCTGTCCTTCCTAGCTTCTAGGCGGTCCGAGTGGGGCCTCCTCCCTCTGACCATCCTCACAGGTGGTTCTGCTCCCAGCCGCAGGCGGCTTTCATGTTCTCTCAGCCAGACGCTCCTCATCCACGCGCAGCCCTCACTGGGGGACTGGGCCCAGCGGCCTTCAACGCTGGGAAATGGGATGTCCTCTGAGACCATCCTGGTTTTACGAATCCCATACGGATGGGATCTCCCTACTTTTCCACACGGCTCTGGTTTCCTGTCGCCTACGGAGTCACATCTCAGTCTTGACCCTTTTATTCACAGCTGAGCCCTTTCTGGCCTTGACCTACATTCATTCATTCCCTCATTCATACCCCAATACCAATTTGGCTTATTTAAAACATCAAGGCATCCCTTAATTTACCCCCTACTAAAATAAAATAAATAAAATAAAATAAAATAAAATAAAATAAAATCCCTTTCTACCTCTCCCTGAGCTGTCCATGAGGAATTTGACCTTCCTACCACTATGATGCTACGCTGGGCTGCCCCAATTCTCCCTCCATCTGCTCCATCTGGTGGACTCTGTCTCAGTGTAGCTTTTGGGTTGCAAGGAACTGCATTCAAACAATCGCCAGGAAAAGAAGGCTCGGGAGAGGCTGGGAGGCCGCACGGAGAGCTGGACTGGAGCTGGTAAGACACCAAGTTCCAGCCTGGGCAGAGGAAGGGCCCAGTTGCCTCTTGTTCCAGCCACACGGTCTCTCTCTTTCTTAGCCCACAGCCACCGGTACTGAGTGCTGGCTCCTCTGCCGGCCAGCGTGCTCTGTCCACTCCTGCTTTTCTATGTCCTTGGGACTTGGGCTGTCGAAGGCTTCGGCTTGTCCTGGACTCTCCAGCCCCACCTTTGCCTCAAGGCACATCTTTTCGCACCTGCCTGTGCTACCCAGAGCTGCCATTTTGGTTTCCCAACTTTCGATTCCAGGAGGGAATCCGATGGACTAGGCCCATGGTTGGCAAACTGTAGCTTACAAGCCACATGCGGCTCTTTGGCCCCTTGAGTGTGGCTCTTCCACAAAATACCACGGCCTGGGGGAGTCTATTTTGAAGAAGTGGCATTAGAATAAGTTTAAGTTTAAAAAATGTGACTCTCAAAAGAAATGTCAATCATTCTGCTGTTGGTATTTGGCTCAGTTGACTAATGAGTTTGCTGACCACTGCACGAGGCTCATCTTTTCATGCTGATCCAAGTCCTAGGTCTCAGACTGCCCAGGGGGATGCCCTTGGACCAGGTTTCTCTGACCAGTCAACCTTGGCTGGTGGATAAGGGTCCAGTTCCCTTGGTGGGGCCTGGAGTTGGGGTGTTTCCGAAGGGCAGCTCTCTGCTGCAATGACCTTGAAGCTCAGTTCAGGTCAGACCTCCTCTGTATCTCTCTTTTCAATTACTTCCTCCTGCATTGGGTACTTACCATATTGCATTTTGAATTATTCCTATCTGTGAATTTGCCTTCTGTCACACAGATGATAAAGAGTTTAAGGTCGGAGACTCTTAAAACAGAGGCCAAGAACTTCATTGCCAAGGTCAGATGACCACTGAACCTGAATTCTTAGTGGCTTTTTTTTTTTTTTAATTTCAAATATTCTCTACTACTGTCCTTGGAAATTACAGAAGCATTCCAGCATTTTAGAAAATACATTCTGTTTCCAGAATCCCTTATATCTGGAGGGGACCCAAAAAGTTCCATGCTCCATTTTTTAAAAAAATATATTTTATTGATTTTTTTACAGAGAGGAAGGGAGAGAGATAGAGAGCTAGAAACATCAATGAGAGAGAAACATCGACCAGCTGCCTCCTGCACACCCCCTACCAGGGATGTGCCCGCAACCAACGTACATGGCCCTGACCGGAATCGAACCTGGGACCTTTCAGTCCGCAGACCGACGCTCTACCACTGAGCAAAACCGGTTTCGCCCATGCTCCAATTTTTGAGGATGAACATGTGGCTGCCGTGTTCATAAGGGACAGAGACCTTCTCTACAGGCGGTGATGGCGGGCAGTGGACATAGGCGTGCGATGACAGGAAGAGAAGGAGTTGAACTTAGTGACTCATTGGCTAAGGAAGAGTGTGCAATCGGTGAACAGAGCTACCCGTGGTTTTGGCTTGGGTGATTGAGTGGAAAATGGGATGGGCATTGTAAATTGAAAAAATGAGAAGATTAAAGGGTCCATATTTTACAGATCTTCAGTATTAAGTCAATAAGTATTTATAATACTTAGCCCCTACTCTCTACCAGACACTGGGCTAGGACTGGTCATACCAAAGTGAATAAGAAACAATTCCTGCCATAAAAGTGTTCTATCTAGGGAGGAGATCACGATGGAAATAAATTATAATACAGTATGATAAGTACTGCAATGAAAAGAGACCTGTGCAAGACTGAAGGGAAATAACCCAGACTTCTTGGAGGTCATACAAATTTTACAGAGGAGAAAAATACCAGGTATTCAGGGAGGGCATTCTTACTGTCAAAAACATCCTTTGAAATGTCTTGGATGCATTCAGGAGAGTGACAAGAAACAAAACAAAGGTCAACTCCTGAATAAGATCATGAGGCAGGCTAAGGCGTCTGGATTTATTTTCCAGAGAAGAGGGAGTAACGGCTGGCAGCAAGGAAAGCAGACTAGAGGGGATGACATGGTCACTCAGGCAGCAGCATGAGGTGTGTATGAGATGGGGATGAGACAGGAGGCCAGGAGAGGGGCTAGGGATTCATTACAAGAGTTCACAGGAGAGATGGGGACATGTGATCTGAGGGTGTTGCCATGTGATGGAGAAAAATGAAAAAACTGAATGCATAGGACTTGGTGACTCACTGGACAGAGTAGACGGGGAAGAAGGAGGAGTGCTGGGTAATTGGGCTGATAGTGATAATAATAACCAGGCCCCAAAACACGGAGGTTAGTGTTGGACTGACCTCTACAAGAAGCTGTTTCCTTGAGGACAGGGACAGTGACTTGTCCACGGGCACATTACCTGTGACTAGGACACTATGCTGGATGCTTAGTGACGACACAGTTTTAAGCATGTGGGTGTCAAACATCTGAAGTCCTCAGGTAGAAACATCCAGGACTTTGCTTTGACGTTCAAGAGCGATATCTGAGCTGGAGAGGCACATGTGGGAGCCATCATATGTGATTGTGGACAAGCATTTCCAGGGAAACCACAGAGTGAGACCAAAGAAGCCTGGGGACAGGATGCTGGGTCATAGCAATGCTTAAGGGGAAGAGAGAAGAAGAGGAGCCATTTGCAAAACTAGAAACATGGTATCACAGAAGCCAAGGTGGAGAGAATCTCTAGAACTTGGAAGAGGTCAATGGGTCAGCAAGAGGTTGTGGCCCCCAGGAAGTGTCTCTCCAAAGAATGGGGTTGGCTCTGGCCTCAGAATTGTTGACTGCCTTCCCATCCAAACCAGTCCTTCCAGGTGTAGTTCCAGGCTTCTAGCCCAGTTTCCTTATCCGCGGAGCCACAGCACTGAGCCTGTCCTGCTCTCCACAGGCCGTGAAGGCTGAGTGAGATAACATGTCCGCAGCTCTCAACATCTTTGGTTCCAGGACCCCTTTATACTCTTATGTTTTATCAAGATCCCAAATAAGCTTTGGTTTAAATGTGCAACATTTATCAATAGTGCCATATTATAAATGAAAAACAGAGAAGTTAAAAAAATATGTAACTCATTTAAGATGAATCATACTAAACCATTATATGTTAACATACACAATTTAGTTTATGAAAGATCACTTAGAGAGCTTAGAGAGAAGCGTGACGTTGTTCCACAGTTTTACAAATCTCTTTAATGCCTGGTGTCACAGAGACATTAAGTTCTCGTCTCTGCTTCTGCATTCAACCCGTACTTGCCTGGAACAATGAGGGCTAAAAAGGGTAAATAACATCTTGGTGTTGTTATAAAAATAGTTTCGTCTTTGAGCATCCCCCCCGAAAGGCTCTTAGGAACCTTACGGCTCCCCAGACCACACGTGGAGAATCACTGATATGTTTGAATTCACGTTGGAAGCTGAGAAGTTCATACAAAGTTTCTATGATCACTCTGAAAATCTATACCCTGGGAATCAAAAAGGGACCCCTCTCATGTGGCCATAATTGGTCCCCGAGGAGCATTATGCATGGGTAACATTACTCCAGATGGGTTCTCAGGCCAAGACACAGAAAGCGTTTCCAGCCCAGATTTCTTACTTTCTCCTTCCTGAGAACTAAGAGAAAAATATAACTGTAAATGTGTTGTACAAATCCAGGCTGCTAATGCAAACTAGATGGTTTTAAGTTAAAATCGTATTTACCCTCAGGTCAACCACAAAGGAAAAATATTACATGTATACACACATGTATAAGTATATAAGTATATGCATATGTATGTATATAAAAAGAAACAGCAAGGGAATGGCTTATGCTAGGAAATACCCATTTAACACAAAAGAAGGCATAATAAAGGCAGAGAAGAACAAGAAATCCATAAGACATACAGAAAAAAAGGCAAATGGAAAAATCAAGTCCTACCTTTATCAGTCATTGCTTAAATGTAAATGGCATAGGACTCTAATTAAAAAAACAGACACACACACAGATTCAAAACAATGGATAAAGAAATCTCCTTCTAACTATATGTTCTCTACAAGAAACACACTTTACATTCAAAGATACAAGTAGGCTCAAAGTAAAATTCAGATGGGAAAAGCTATATCACTCAAACAATACTCAAAATAGAGCTAGAGTTGCTATACTAATATTGGACAAAATAGAATTTAAGACGGGGCTGTCTCCCACCCCTGACCCCCTCAACTTCAGATGTCAATTGCAAGTCCAGGTTGCTATTGGATCACAAGTTCCCACAACTCAGATCCTGCTAGTTTGCTACAGCAGCTCACAGAACAACAACAACAACAAAAAGCCATTTTAATTACTAGGAAAATGCAAATCAAAACCACAATGAGATACCACTTCATACTCACTAGAATGGTAATAATAATAATAATAATAAATACATAAAACAGATAATAGCAAGTGCTGGGAGGATATGAACCCTCATATACGGGTGGGAATGTAAAATGATGCAGCCACTTTGAAAATAGTATAGAGAGAATGTATAGCATGAACTAATAAATAGAATAAAGAACTGACTTATTCTAGCCTGGCTGGTGTTGCTCAGTGGTTCCTATGAACCAGGAAGCCATTGTTCCATTCCCAGTCAAGGCACATGTCCAGGTTGTGGGCTCGATCTCCAGTAGGGGTCATGCAGGAGGCAGCTGATCAATGATTTTCTCTCATCATTGATGTTTCTATCTCTCTCTACCTCTCCTTTACTCTCTAAAATCAATAAAATATCTATATATATAAAATCCTAATATGCTAAGTGTCTGACAGATTGGTTGACTGCTTGACCAGTTGCTATATCACACTCTGACCACCAGGGGGAAGACTCTCTGACCAGTAGGTTAGCTTGCTGCTGGGGTCCAGCTGATCACGACTGGGTGCGATGGGCTGGACATGCCCTGGAGCCAACCTCCTGCGGTTCCTCCCCTGCCTCTAAAGTATTTCTTCTAATTAATTTCCTTTCAATGTGCACGAGTTCGAGCACTGGGCCTCTAGTATATACTAGTATATAAAAGAACTGA